TGCAGTAGAATAGTACCACGATATAGTCTTACCCAAGGGTGTAAATATCTTCAACCTGCCCACAAAAGGACAATTTTAAATATTTATTTTAAGGACTTTGTCACATTCCCCACAATTATTAAGACAAAAAAAAAATAATTCCTGAAAACAAAACAAAGAGCATTGGCAAGAAACAGCCAAGGCTTTCATTACAAGACTTATGTCTAGTCCATCAAAGTATCAAAAAATTTACCAGCAATTATGTGGGGAAAGGGTGGATAAAATTAACATTTTTATTTTCCCAGACCTTTCTGAGTAAATGAGTTAGAGGACCTCTAAATGAAAGTATAACATTTAGCTATTATTTTACTAGCTGGTAATGATGCCTTTTCTAGTAAGGATTCCAATTACTTGCTTTTAACCCTATTGAGGAAAAACCTAGTTGAATTGTTAACTGATAGACCATTAAAAATAATGTTTAATGATAAATCACTGATTTTTGTGTGTGTGTTTAATTCAGAAGGGGGTAAGACCAGAACAAAATCCCTTGCATTCTTATCTACTTATTTATGTGAACGAATTTTCTCAATATATCTGTAAAGCCAAAAAATTAAATGGAATGATAGTTAATCCTATTCATTTCAGAAATAGGAATTACCAGTGAGGCATCGTGGTGCATGCCTGTACTCCCAGCACTGTGAGAGGCTGAGTCAGGAGGATCTCAACTCTGATCCCAGCCTGGGCAACCTAGCAACTTAGTGAGAACCTATCTCAAAATAAAAAATGGCTGTATCTCAGAAAGCCCTGAGTTCAGTTGTGTTATAGCTTGTATCTAGATGTCCCCCCAAAGCCTCAAGCACTCACAGGAGGGGATTTTGGGAGATGGCTGGATCTAGGGTGTGTGGTACTGGATTAGTCCATTGATGGGAAGTGCCATAGTTCTTGGTGTGGCTGAATGGATTCACTAGATAGAAATCCCACCCTGGGTGTGTGTGACACCACACAAAAAGCTTACAGCTTGGATAGGATAAAAGAGAAAGGCAGGGTCCCTGCCTTGCTGCCTGCTGTTTGCTGCCTCCTGCCTCCTGCCTCCTGCCTCCTGCCTCCTGCCTACTCTGCCATGGACTGTCTTCTGCCATACTATGTTGCCTTGGAGCTAACCAACTGTGGACTGAAACCTCTACAGACTGAGCCAAAATAAACCTTTCCTCTTTTAACTGACAGATGTTGGATATTTTGCCCCAGCAATGAGAAAATTAATTAAGACAAGTCCACAGTACTGGAAAAAAAAAAAAAAGAGAGAGAGAAAGAGTTTGTCATAGATATATGAATTAAAGGGAGAAACATTCACTTCATTAAAGCATTTCCATTTTTTACATTTTATATTTAATAATAATGTATACCACTTTCCTAGGAAAGAATCCTCCAGTCACATTTTTAGACAGTAAAACTTGCTTATAGCATTGGCAGTGGGAGGAAGCTGGAGGTTTGGGTTTGGAGGGGGCACTTGTTTGTTTTTGAGTCAAGATCTCACTATGTTGCTGGCCTGGACTTCCTGGGCTCAAGCAATCCTTTTGCTTCATTCAGCCTCCAGAGTAGGGGGACTAGAGGCACACACCATGGCACTGAGCAAGCCGGAGGATGTTACCACTTACTAGATTTGCCTTTGGTTTTACCTCCCACCCCTGGTATCTATGAGTCTGGACTTTTTTTCCTGAGTTTTCACAGAGAGTAAACCTACTTTGAGCTGGAATTCTTGCTGCTTTTCAGTTTCTCTGCCTGTCCTGTTCCCCATGTGAGTTCACCAAAGCCATCCTCTGCTGCCTGAATTTTAGCAACTTTGCTTTTGTTGCTCACTGTTTTAAAAGCTTGTTTGGAGATTCTAGTGGGAGAGCACAGCTACTCCTCTAAGGTCTTCCTCTATCCAGGTGGTCCTCTTCTTTTCTGAGAATGCAGCTTCAGGAGGGACACACATGGAGCAGTGAGGGGGGAAGGGGACAGCCAGATCACTGAATCAACCCTGGTATCAGTGGGGTGACAGATGTTGCAGCCAGATCACCTTCACATCCTGCTGCTCGCCGTTTTGATATTGTGACTCTGATCTAGGATGCTTTTGGGTTCCCCTATACGCAACCTACTTCTGCTGCTGAGTGTCTTTTTGCATGCCAGTCACTCTGTCCAGAAGGCTATCTGGACACCTCTAATAGGTCACCTCTATTTCCCTGGCTTCCAGTGCCTACCAAAACAATCCCCTTCCTAGAAGCCTTCCCTGCCTCAATCCCTCCACTCTGCTCATTTCAATCACACTGCCCTAAATAGTTCACTGGATACACTGCACTTCCACTTTCCTTTGTACATGCCGTTCGCTTGCTGAATGCCCATTCTAGCCAGCTAGCTTTCTGTGTGATGTGGCTCAAACATCATCACCTCTGGGAAGCCCTGCCTGACCCCATTAGTCGTGGCCAGGTCCCCCCTCCGAGCCCCACTCATGATGCCCTGGGCTCTCCGCTATTGCAGTACTTCCCATGCACTGTTCTAAGGGGCCTCAAAAATTATTAATGAATGAATGTGTGGTTAATTACAATGGAAAGACATTAAATATAGAAGCAGAACTACTTGTACTTCAGTTCTGTATTTTCTCATATCACCTGTGTGTATGTAGCATGTGCCTGGCCCCTACCTGACCCATGATTACAAGAGTAGAGAAAGACTAGAAATAAAATTAACCCACCTAGAAGAAATTCCTAAGATCTGATGAGAGGTTAATTCAAGTTTAAATATTTTTAGGGCCTGTTACCACTTCCTTGCTTATTCCTTCAAAGTCTCACACCTTGGGAAAGAACTGAAACACCTCTGAAATTTGCCATCAAGCCTGGTTCAATGAAAAGAGCACAGAAAGTTTATGGAAAAGTAAAGCAGTAAAGATTTTCCTTTTTTATTGGCTCTCATTTTTTTTAACAAAGGCTAACTTTCAAGATCAATAGACATTCAAGACCCAAGGTGTAGCGTATTGACAACTGGTGGTCAACTTTTTTTTTTTTTTTTTTTTTTTTGGTTTTTCTCCGGTACCAGGAACCGAACTCACAACCTTGCACTTGCCAGGCAGGCGCTTTTTGCCGCTGAGCTAAATCCCCAGCCCCTCTGGTGGTCAACTTGTAACCCCCAGCTGACCTGAATCAGGGCCCACCTGAGAATTGTCACCAACAACACAAAAAGGAGAACTGGAGAGAAAGAAGGGGGGCTGTTGGTTCTTCCGGAGGAGCTTGTCATGATGGCTTTTCTGGTATGAACTCAGCTGTTCTCAGCAGCTGGCAAAGGAGCTTGGGACCTCACTGTTGCTGAGAATGGTTACATTTCACTCGAGGGAGCTCTGGTCCTTACTTTGAGTGACTTTCTGGCTCCAGTGCAAATTCCTGAGCCTAGTGGCACAGATCCTTCACCCCACTGACACAGACTTTCGAGCTTCCACCGCTGACCTTAGGGCCTTCCCGGCACAGATCCTTGAAAGAGGATAATTTTTTCTTCTCCCCGAAATTCTATTCTAAAACACTCCAGATCCTGTGTTCGCAGACATTTTCCCAGCTGCTGTCTGGTCATGCTGCTGGTGGCTTAGGAAATCTGTCCCATTTTGGTTAGCCTCTACACAGAGCAATAAACGCTTTTCTTTTGTTGTTTTTCTTTTTTGTGGTGCTGGGAATTGAACTCAGCATTGTACACGCAAGACAAGAGCTCTACCACTGAGCCACATCCCCATCCCAAACTGTTTGTTTTTAGAGAACTCCTAGTCTCAAAGTTTGATTTTAAACTTCCTTTTGTCAATGTTGACACATTAGGGGATAAAAAACACATTTGAACTTCATCTTGCCTTAAAAAAAAAATACTTGCACTCAAGGGTAAAGGGCAACTGGGATGTGAGAAAAGAGAAGGGAAAGGAGAAATTTTGTATGAATGTATATACAGGATAGTTAACATGGTTGTTCTACTGTCTTCTATTTCTTTGCTGAGAGAAACTGTCAATGAGTCCTTGGTTGATCAGTATTGCATGTCTATATCTGTTTTCATGAGAAACTACTTTGAAGATATCAATATATAATACAACAAGCATTGTTAATTTCCTACCATTTTGTTTGTAACTCCATATTGTCTGTACTGTTCTTTTGCTATTTTGTAAAATGTTGTCTGTCTGTTAATGTTTTCCTCCTTTTATTTTTAAAATAAAAAAAATACTTATCCTATTTTACTCATCAATTCTTCCTGTGGGTTTGCTGAATTTGAGTTTGTAACAATAAAGCCTACTTTACAAAACTGTTTTTGTAGAGTTAAATGAGGTAATGTCTGAAAAAATCTGGCACAAGCAAGTACTCACTGTACATTCGTTCCTTCCTGAATACTGTTAGCCACAAAGTGGCTGAAGGCAGTCACCAGGATGAAGGACAAAGGAGTCCTGGAGTGAGTGGTGAGAGAATAACTTCTTGGTCTGTTTTTAGAGGAATAAGGTGTTAGGAACAAAATGATTGAAGAATTTATTAGAACACTAAATATATTTTAATAAAGAGAAACAATAGTAAACATCTCAGTTTGCTTTAACTGAGGTGCTTCAGACGTTGAACAGTTTACCCAAGAGCCTTAGCTCTTCTCTAGGAGCCCCCTGCAGAGCTGTCTGCTCCCTGGCCCTGTCTTCAAGCAGCTCTCTGGAACATCTATCAGAAAACATTTTTTTTTCACCACTCACCAGGAGGAGTGAGCACTCGGCCCTGTTCCTTTCCAGCCTGTGGCAGGACAGAGCAGAAAAGCCGCTGCCACATCCCATGGGCACTAACTCCCACAGTTTCTTTTTCTAGCTAGCTTTAAATCTCTGCCTTTTGTAATAAGCCTTCTCCTTTCAAGTGGAACAAATAATTGGCTAATATTTATCTCAGGTGAAGAAGCAACCAGGCTTCTGTAAACTTTTGTAAACAGTCATGTTTAGTTAAAAAAAAAAAAAAAAAGTTATGTAAGCTATAAATTTGCTGGACTTTGTCCCTAGTAGGTCAGTTAGGCAACTCCACTGAGTCCCTCGAGTCACCTGCTGACCGGGCAGACACATAAGCTAGTGGGAACAATAAAGTCCAGACTTTGAAGAAGAAAAACCTTTTCAGCTTCATACTCTGTCTCTCGGTTTCTGGGCCTGAGTTTCCTAAAGTCATTACCCTTGCAGGAGGAGGAAAATGCCTGAGCTAAAGGTAAGAAACCATCTCTGTAGAACTAGGGGTACACCTTATTGGATATACAATAATGGACCTGCAGGGCTCTGCTTGGTTTACATCCCCAGTGCGTGCACACAGGAGCACAGAAAAGAAAAGGAATAGAAAGAAACTGTCTGGCAAGTTTGCTGTGTATCTGAGTTTGGGGGACTGGAGGGAGATACAGTGCAAAGCCCCATGTTCAAAGGCTCCAGCATGTTGTCTGTGGGCATGGCTGGGGTGATAAGGGAGAGAGGCTAAAGAGATAATGGCCATCTCTTACCTTTGTTCATTTCAAAAAGTGGCTTGGAGGAGATCTGTAGATATCCTAAGGACTCTCTTCCACCATAGACACACACTTTTCTCATTATGTCTTCCTGTCACTGTTTTCTGACACCTTCCTACAGCTTCAGCTTCCTGGTCTGCTTCCGGCCCACCAACTAGACCTGCATAATCTATTCAGTTGTATTGAGGCTCAGAATCTGGCTTGGCGAGTACAAGACCTAGCCCCTCCTCTGGGAAATATTTTCTTCCTTTTATTTAATATGCAATTGAAAAATACTAATGGGTTAGGTACTAGGTATTTTAACTATGAGTTTTCTCAAATTCTAATCCCCAGAACAAATCTGAAATGTAGATGCTCTTCTTTTTGTTCAACCAGTAAGAAAAGCAAAGCTCAGAGGAACTAAATGATGTGCCCAAGGTCTTGTCTGGTAGGCAATTGAGCCTGTATTAAAACTTGGGTTTATCTTAATCTAAAATGCAGCCCCAAAGGGAGCCTTGGTGGCTCCTATTAGGCTGGAGGAGTGTGTGTCCCCAGTGTCTAAAACCATGCCTCCTGTTCAACATGTGCAAATAGAACTGCCCAAACTTAGGCTTAAGACAGGTGGGCAAGGCACCCCGTTCCCCCATCCACAGAATGCAGAATGCTCCTCTACCCTTCCCAATGAAGGGTTTGAGCATTGCCCTAATGCCCTTCTGATGCTTCAGACATCTCCCTAATTAACTAGGTTGCTAAAAACACTCAGCACCCGAGTAAACATGTTTGTTTCTTTATGCCTGAGAATTAACTCTTACTCTTTCATTCAGCAAATATTATGTACTAATGTAAGGTGCCACAGATTACTATAGAAGACTGAAACTGAGTTTTGGATAGGGAGAGTCAAGAGACACTTCCTGAAGGGGACTGTTCTGAAGCTGAGTCTTGAGAGAAGAATAGGCGTTAGCAAAGTGAAGGACAGGACCAGGAGGCATAGCTGTGCAAAGACAAAACATACACAGACAGCCCTACATGTTCTGCCTTCCCAGTGTTTACCCCAAACTGGAGTTTCCAGAGGGACAGTCAAGTAGGGATGCCCAGGAAGTGATGAACTGTGTGGATTAGGATCTCAGGGAAGTTGAAAGGGAAATAGATATGGGGTCATCATGTCAGTAGTGGTAGTTGCAGTCTTGGAGAAGGAAAATACATAGAAAGATTTTTTGCTTTGTTTTTTGGGGTGGTACTGGGGGTTAAACCCAGGGCCTTTGGGCTGAGTTACATTCCCAGCTATTTTTAATTTTTTTTGAGACAGGCCCTTGGTAAGTCACTAAATTGCCCAGGCTGGGCTCAAACTTAGTATCTTCCTGCCTTAGTCTCCTAGTGTGCTGGGATTACAAATGTGAGCCACCATGCTTGGCTAGAAACTTTTTTCTGATAAAAATCCTATGGGGAAGTTTCCAGCAGGGATTGGAAACATCCTTACCATTTATGAATAAATTATATCTAAAATCCTGTCCTGCTGTAGTTTTAAGCAATTTAGTATGCAGGGCACCAGCATACCAATGTGAATTGCATGCTAGTCTTTGTTCTCCATTTCAAAGACATTCCCAGCCTGCTGTCTAATCTCTAGAAGGAAAGGTTAGCTCCAGAGGTCAGGAATCTAAACAAAGAAAGCCAGATTGCATTAGACTCATTCTAATGGATAAACATTATGTAACTTTTTAGAATATTTCTGATCTTTTATTCCTTCATTTTAATGGGTATGTCAACACCAAACCTCAAATGAGGTTATATTTACATAAAAGCACAATTGAGGGAGGAAAACTCCAAAAGTCAAAATAATAAATTTGAAAAGGACTATTTTATAGTCTTCAGTAAGTTGCTTCACATCTCTAAGCCTTGGTTTCCTCATTTGTAAAACGGAGAGCCAGTTTTACATGCAGACTTTGGGCCCCACCACCAGATACTTAATTTAGTAGCTTTGGGTTTATATTTAACAAGTTTCTGAAATCATTCTAATGGTTAGCTAGAGGTGGAACCCACTGGCCTACATAGTTTGTTTCCTGTTGCTGCTGTTTTTTTTTAAAAAATTACCACCAACTTACTGGCTTAAAACAACAAATTTTTTCCTTTTACCGTCTGGAGGTTGGAAGTCTGAAATTAGTTTCACTGGGATAAAACCAGTGTGAGCATGGATGGTTCTTTCTGGAGACTCTGGCAAAGTCTGTTTCCCTACTTCTCCAGCTTCTAGAGGATTCCTATACTATTTGGATTCCTTGGCTTGTTGCTCTTCCCCTACCTTCAAAGTACATAGCTCCCATCTCTGTTTCTCTCATCACATCCTTTCCTCTTTTGCATTCATATTTCCCTCTGCCTGTGGGATTACACTTAGAGTTCACCCAAATAACCAGGCGTCTCCTCATCACAAGATTCTTAATCACATCTGCAAAAGTTTCTTCTGCTAAGGTAAAAGTCCTAGGTTTCAGGGTTTGAGACATAAATGTCTTCCAGGGCCTTTAGTCAACCTACTGCAGTGGGGGGCAAACCTATGGCATGTATGCCACCAGTGCCCTGTTTGTTATCACTGAAGCCTCTAAAAGCTTCACCATCAGTGGCTTATAGTGACAAACTGCAAGTTTCTCTAACGATCTATATTCTATGCTCTTGTCAAGATTAGTAAGAGATACTGGATTCTGAACAGGAAGAAAGGGTACCAGCAGTTCTATCTCTACCCTGATTTCTGTATTTCCTTCATGCCTAGTAAAAGAAAGTGAGGGGCACCATCTGCTAGTCCCATCAGGTGTTGCCTAAGCTCCTTCTTCAGAGAAAGCATCTCATAAAACTGCTGAAAAGAAAATCATATCCTGGGGATCAGGTGAGAATTAAAAAGCTGTATGCTAGTAAGTTGCCAAAGAACTGGTGGTACTAAAGTCACATGGAGCTCAGTAACGTATTCTTTCATTTAGGAAGTATGCACACAATTCTCTTAGAAATAAAATCGTATTTTTTATGTTGGATCAAATTATTCTGAACTGCAGAAAGTACACAAACACTCTTGCTTAATGTCAGATTTTTATTTCATTTTTTGTATAAAATATATTTTTACATAATCACTGAACCAGCTGGAGTTGAATGCTTGAATTTTCACAGCTGATAAAAGAGTTCAGATGCTGTCCTTGAGCTCAAAGCCTTGAAAAAGCAGCTGCAAATATAGCTTCCTGAATTCATGCCTTCAGCAGAGAGGGACATGGCATTTTGAAGTTCTGATAAACTCGACTGTAATTTTTCTCCCAGAAGGTTAGGAAAACTAAGTGAGTCAATAATGACTCAGCAGGTCCCGTCACTCCCCCGCCCCTTCTTTAGCCAATGCACTGCGGCTAAAATGGAGAAATGGATTCAGAACTCACACCTCTCTCAACGCTTTGGTGGCTCCCTTCCAAGCCACTAGCTGTTCTTTCTGCTTTCTTTTCTATTTTTTAAAGCACAGCCTGTGTGGATGCTTCAGAATCATATACACTAACTCCTTTTTCTGTTCTGAATACACTTATAACCTCTGCTCTGAGTCCAGCAGTTGCAAAGAAAGGGGAAAGTTAATGAGTGAAATCACCCCAGCCTGCCAGAAACCTCAGCTGTATGGAGCACCTCGCAGCTCTGCATTCCTCATGCAGAGGGATACAATGAGGAGATCAGACAAAATGAAGACACTGTGTTATTCAATGACTTGAGCCACAAGCTGGTCTAAAATCCCATTTCTGGGAATTGAAGATAATTTGGGGTCATTACCAATTCTCAGCAGCTCAAATTCAATCCTGTTGATGGTGAGCATGAGGTTTATTTTGAGAGAGGAAAATTATATTGTGTGGAGAATCGTGATACTTGATGGGCTCTACCATTTCTCCAAAGCACTCATTTTAAGTTGCATGCTGCTGGTGTGAACAATGTGATTATAATATATCTTTGTGAGTTTTTAATGTGATGATAAATTTGTAAATATGCAAACAATTGTAGGAGCTGAGGGTGTAGTTCAGTGATGAAGCACATGCTTAGCATGCATGAAGCCCCAGATTCAAACCCCAGCACCCCCAAAAAATTGTGTCTGAAGGCAGAAGAATAATTTCATTTCTTTGCTTTCTAGGTCATAACATTTCACATTTAACAGTTCTTCCAAATACAGATACTGTTGGCCTGATCATTGCTCAGTGTCTCAGTTATTTTTCTCTCATTGCTGAGACACAATACCTGACACCCAAAATTAAGGAAGGCAAGGTTTATTTAGCTCACAGTTTGTGGAGGTTTCAGTCCATACTTGGCTGGCTGCAAGGCAGAGTGGTACATGGCAGGGGCAAGAGTTCATGGCTGCAGAAAACAGCAAAAGCAGCAAGAGTAGAAAGGAAAAAGCAGCAAGAGCAAGCCTCTTTCCCTCCCTTATATTATATGCAGGCTACCCACCCTAGGGTAGGTGTACCACTGATACCCATAATCCCAGCATTGGACCATGGATCAATCAAAAACTCTAGAAGCCCACCCCATGACTACATGAGGCTTTGTGGGTGTATCTAGACACAAACCATGACACTCACACATCTGAGCATGCTACATCTAGCTCATCTTTCCTCACACTGCCAAAAACTCTGGAGGGCCTACCCTCCACCCGCATCCGTTCTTCTCATAATTCTTAAAGAAATATGCTCAGATGGTAGCATTTTACTCACCAAGCAAGACAGCATTCTCCTTATCTATCCTGATCTCTCCTTATCAATCAGTGCTTAACGTATGGCAAAGGGAGTTCAAAACTCCCTTATCACAGCATATGTACATACACTTGTATTAGAAACTGGCTCTAAATGAGAAACTAGATTGATCATCAGACAATTACTACCCAAGGTGCCACAGAGGTGAGCAAGACTGCCAAAGTCCTAGCTTCATGAAACATATGAAAGAGCAAAAAAGGTAGATAGTGACAGCCCTGTGACAAAACTCACAGGTCTGTTAAGCATTGCAAGAGTAAATCTCAGGTTGCAGTTGGTGGGCAGTAACTGAGGCAAGATGCTGCTGAATTTGCTGGCTCTTTGTCAGAGTGCCCAGTGGGCCATAAGCACAATGTGTCAGAGTCATTTGAAAAGAAAATTTCAGAGAGACAAAAGCTGTTTCAGGAGGAGAGTGGAATTCCAGGGCATCACAAGGGTAGGATAGTTGCTGCCCTCCTATATAGAAACACTGTGGTTCTTACAGTTGGTACAACAGCAGGTACCATATGCCTGCTGACTGTAGACTCATTTCTCAAGAAGCAAAATTAATTTCAGTCATTCCACCAATCACTTTGGTTCACTTTCACTCACCTCTTTATGGACCAATAATCTGATAATCTGAGCTTTTCTTTGGGGATCCATACTTATTGACTTATGCTAAGTGCCACCAACAGAGCAGTCTTTCATGGAAAACAGTAAATTTCAGCATCCCCTAATTTATGTTGTTGAGAAATTTCTTAACTTTTCCCCTCTAGATATAAAGTTAACAGATGGCAATCATAGTAGGCTCCCTTGCCATTGTAGAAAAGTTTCTGGGCAGAAACATCTCCTGAAAGCTACTCCTATCTTTCAATCTCATTTTCATATATTCATATAGACACAAATATATGGACACATGCTCCACAAATGAGCCACATAATGCAAGCTTCTGCTTGCAGCAAGGCTAGTTTAAAGAGAGCAAGAATTTGGCAAGGATTTTGCTGTCACTTAGACCCATACACAACTTCCCAGTTTTTCTTTAGTATATGGAGGGAGAATAGATCCCTAAACCCAGGGAAGGTACAATCTAGGCCCAGCAAGATCTTACCTATCTAGAGTTGAGGTGATGCTGGAGCCGTCTCCCCTCTCAGGACTCCCAAAGGAACTAGACTTAAATAACTTGTTCCTGGGTTGAATGAGATAATTACGAACAAGCCTATATATCAACCAAATTCACCAAACAGTAGAAAATCTGTGTAATATCCAGCACTTTTTCTCTGATTGACTAGACATCTTTAAAATTCATACAAAACATATTGTCTTTCTTAAATGGTTTGCATGCCAAGACATAGCAAAAAAAATTTTTTTTTTATTTTAAAGAGAAAAGAACAAAAACAAAATAACAAAAACAAAAACAAAGACAAAAAAAAACACAACACAAAAACTGTAAGAATGATACAGAATTTCAAAACAAGATGATAGGAGATCAAAAATGGTTGTTGTATTACTTATTGTTATCTTCAAAGTAGTTGCTCAGATTACCAGACATAGGTATGCAAGATCGATCAAACAATTAAACATTAACTGTTCCATTCAGTAAACCAACAGAAATTAGTAGTACTCTTAGCTATCTTGTGTGTGTGTGTGTGTATATATATATACATATATATATATAACTTCTTTCTTTCTATTCTTCTTTCCTATTAAGCAGTTTCTTTCCTTTTCACAATATCTACTGTATCTTTCACTTTTATCTACTCATTCAGGTTCTTACACTACGAAGACAATATAGTGTTTACACATGCAAGTCCATTTTGCTTATGAGTATGGTCTCTCGTTGCATCCATTTACCTATAAAAGCCTCTAGTTTATCTTTCTTTATAGCTGAGTAGTATTCCATTATATAAAAATACCACATTTTTCGTATCTACTCCTCAGCTGATGAGCATTTGGGTTGTTTCCAAAATTTTATGACAAATTGTGCTGCTATGAACATGGGTACATGTATATTGCTATGGTTTTTAATTCTTCTGGGAAAATACCTACAAGGGGAATGACTGGCTCAAATGGGACCTCTAATCCTAATTTTTTGAGGAATCTCCAGACTGATTTCCAAAGTGGTTGCACCAATCTATATTGCCACCAACAGTAGAGAAGAGTTTCTTTTTTCCTACAGCCCCTCCAGCATTTGTTGTTGGTTGATTTCTTGATGGTAACCATTCTTACTGGGGTGAGATGAAATCTCAGTGTCAATTTAATTTGCATCTCTCAAATGACCAATGATGTTGAACATTTTTTCATGTATTTATTTGCCATTTGTATTTCTTCATCTGAGAAGTGTATATTCATCTCAGATGCCCCTTTTTGGATTGGGTCTGTGAAGTTGGGGGGGTCTGAGTTTTTTCAATTCTTTATATGTTCTAGATATAAGTCCTTTGTCTGAGGGACAGTTAGCTAAAATGTTTTCCACTCTGGGTTGTCTTTTCACTCTATTGGTGATTTCTTTTGAAGTACAAAAGCTTTTTAATAGGGTGAGATCCCAGTTGTTGATTCTTTGAAGTGTTTCCATGCAGTTTGGGTTTTGTTCATGGAGACTGTGCCTACCCCTATGTCTTCAAGATTTTGACCTATTTTCTCTTCCAGTAGATTTAGTGTTTCTGCTTTAATATTTAAAGCAGAAACATTTTGACTAACAAATGATCCATTTTGACTAACAAATATATTATTATAGGAGATCATACACAAAGAGATGACTATATAGAAATTCTTAACTTTGTATATGCCTATTGTGAAATTCTCTTTAAATCTCATTAATGCTGACATTTGTGTCTTTGTCACATGCAGTACATTTCTGGATTTGGAAATGAGTGTGCTTCAGAGGACACACGCTGTCCAGGTTCCCTGCCACAAGGACAGGTATGAATGAATAAAATTTTTAGCATTGAATTGTCAGCCCAGATGATTAGCTCATGGATGAAAATGACTCCATCAAATGAAGCTCTTCTATGTTGGTGGATGAACTGTCTAGGAGTTTCACAAATGATTAGGATAAGTGGGATACAAAGCAATGACAATATGAAGGTTAAATTTGGATTGGTAGTGACCTATCATTCAACCCAAATTAGTATAATTAACTGTAGGACTTTCAGGAGGAGCCTCAAAGTCCAAAGCTCAGAGCCTTCCCCTGAAACAGTATATGATAATGGTAAGAAAATAAGTTACCTTAAAAATGTATGTACAAAGATGCTTTCACAATTGTTGATATAGTAAAACTCTGATAAAAAAAAATTCCAAAAACTTGAAGATATTTTATGGCATAAAAAAACACTTATACAATAGTATTTTCCTAAAAGAAAAAAGAAAGTACTCATTGTTACAGCATTACATGCATCACAGGATCCTGTATTAATCACTTTCTTACCACTGAGAGAAAATATTTGACCCTCACAGTTCAAAGAAGGAGAGGATTTATTTTGGGTCACAGTGTCAGTCTGTGGTTTTCTGACTCCAAGGCAAAAACAGCAAGGCAGAGAGGCATGGGAAAGGAGCACTGCGGCCAGGAAGCAGAGAGAGAGAAGGGAGGAGCCAGGGACAACACCCTTCCAGGGTACGCCCCCAGTGATTCACCCACTCTGATCAGCTCCTACCTCTAAACATGAGACTTTGGGGGACATTTTAGATCTAAATCATAACATTTTGCCCCTGGCCCACAGAAAATATATATCTAATTCACTGTGTGAAATGTATTTAGTCCACTGAATTGTTTCTCTGGTGTGAGAAACCAAAAGTATAAATAAGGACCAAAATGTATACTATTGTGAAATAGGAAGAAAATGTTCAAATGGGAAGGGGAACAAGGGAGCTGGGAGGGGGAAAGGAAGGAAAGGAAAAGAAAAAACAAGAAAAGAAAGAAAAAATGGAAACTAAGCTTTTGTAAGTAAGGAGGGAAAAAGGGTTGAGGGGAGGATGAGAGAATGGGGAAAAAGAAAAGAATCAAGATATATCATGTGAAAAAAAAAAAAAAGATATATCATGTGCAGGTACAAATTCCCTATGATGAATATGATCCTTATGTATACCTAGAATGTACCAATAAACTTAAATTAATTAAAATATTTAAAATGCATTTACTTCATCTGGTAGAGTCACCAAAATCTTAACAGGTCCAGCATTACTGGAAAGTCCAAGTTCAAAGTCTCCTCTAAGACTGAAGACAAATTTTTAGCTGTGAGAAAAGTTTTATTTTATTTTCTGAAAATAAAGAAACAAAATTAAATACTTCCAACATACAATGGCACATCCCTATTCCAAAAGGAGGGAGAAATAAGGAGATAAAAAGGAATGGATGAAAGACTGACACCCAATAACACAAACATTAAATCCTTAAGTTTCATGCCCAGGACCTGGGGTAGATTGTAGGGAGATGTGCACTTCAAAGAGCCTAAGCAGCCCACTCTGTATCCTTCCTGTTCTAGCCCATGTGTCTTCTTTCTTGAGCTGGCTCTGCTCACTGCTTGCAGCTTTCCTCATCAGACATTCCATGTTCCTAGCATCTCTAATTTCCTGGAGTCTTCACTGCACTTTTGGCTTCATTCCAAAACCTTCATGCACTGCCCTTTCAGGGACTCCTTGCCTGGAATCTGGATGGAATCTTTCATCATGCCATAACTCTTGCATTTTGCATCTCTGAAAAACTAGCATCATGTGGATGATACGAAGGTCCATGCCAGCTTGAACAGTAGCCAGGCCCTCTTAGGCCTTGCCTGAAGTGGCTTCTAAGTGCCTGGGTAACTGATTATGGTGAAATAAATCTCAGAGAACCAATTCCTTTGAGCAAAGGGCCCAAGAGTTCTCTTCTTAAATTAAAAGTTTACATTTTGTTCAGCTTTGAGCCTATGATGAGTGGGTTCTTGCTGACTCCAGAGAGCTCTTCAAGCCATATTTCCTATTGCCTGATGCAAAGCACTTGGCTTCCTCTTAATACTAACTTTTTAGCAATCATGTTGTTCTAGCTCTCCTCAGACACAAATTTACAAGTGCTCTTTTTCTCATCAGACTGCAAATTTTTCAAATCATTCAGCTTTGCTGTTTTCTCCTGGTTCTCATTGTATATCTGGCTAAAAGCACCCACTGGTAACACCCATACCACAACTTGATCATTTGGCTGTCTTGAAATTTCCTCTAGCAATTTTTCTGTCACTGTTAATCTCAGTCTCTCACAAAGTCTCAGCACATGGGGAAAAGGTGGACAAACTTTTTGCAGAGTGCAACACACATGGTCTAGTTCAATTTTCAATAGAGTCCTCCTTCCCACCTCATAAGCCTAGCCTTAACTATCAATATTCTTGGCTTCTGAAGTTCTGACTCCAATCACCCATCAAACTCTGCTTAAAATATTCTCTAGTGGGCATCTCTAAACCTTTCTAACCTTCTTCTGCAAGCCAGTTCCAAAGGCTTTTGAACAACAATGAGGTATAAGTCATGATAATGACCCTTCTTCTCTAGTACCAAGATCTGTATCAGTCACTTTCTTATCACTGGAAGAAAACACCCAACAAATGCAACTTAAAGGAGAGGTTTACTTTACCTCAGAGTTTTCATAAGTTTAAGCCATGGTCAGCTGACTCCAAGGAAGAAATGGAATGGTGGAAAGAAGTGACAGAGTAAGACGCTCACCCCATGGCAGACAGGAAGCAGAGAGATAAGGGAGGAGCTGAGGAAAACAATACACCCTTCCAGGTTGTACACCCAGTGATCCACCTTCTCTAAGTTCCACCTCTGAACACAAGACCTTTGGGAGATATTTTAGCTCTAAATCATAAAAGATCCCCATTTTGGAGGTTAAAAATGGAAGAAAATATACAAATATGTTAACATTGAATGATTTCTGGTTGATGAGATAATAGATAATACATATTTTATAAATGTTCTACTTTTTTATAATCTGGGGGAAACCCACATGAAATGTATGTATGAGTTGGGGATGGTTACATGTAATGGCCCAAAGTGTGCCCATTGAGGGCAGGACTCCTCCACTGAGTTAGTTGGTGGGCATGTGGAACACTTTTTGAAATGATGTTATTTATTTCCTCCTTTCTTCTAGAATAATCCTCAGGTCTGCCCCTACAACCTGTATGCTGAGCAGCTTTCAGGATCAGCTTTCACTTGTCCCCGGAGCACCAATAAGAGAAGGTACAAGGATGATTAATTTTGATTTGCAGACTGAGGGCACTATGACCAGAACCTCAGGTTTCCTCATGTACTTGGACCACAGCATCCCAGGGCTGCCCACAATCCTTCTCCTGACAGGCTGTGTTCTGGGCTACAGTCAGAGTCCAGGCCTTGTTCCCAGCTAGAATCAAGTGACTGAGAAGAGAAATTGAAGTAATACAGAGCTTGGAAAAATCACAAGGCCAATTTCATTTGCAAATTCTAATCAGCATTCAGAAGAAAATGTTTCTAATACTCTGGTCTTCCTTTAAGGATTGTCTAGCTCACCGTTGGGTTTTGATTTACTTGTTTGTTTGTTTGGGGTTTTTTTAGTATATAATGATTCCTCACAATTATAGAAGATTCAGAGAAATATCTTTCTTAGCTGAGTAGGAGCATTATGTTCTTTGCATGAACATGTTGGATAATCCAAGATTGGATAGTTGAAAGGCCATGTGCTATGGGCCCTTGTGGTTTGAATTAATAAGGTTTTTACTCTGGAATTTGCCCTTGCTGGAAACCAGCACATTTGTTAGCACAGTACATCATGTTCATGCTTGCTCTAATCCCACAAGCAGGGTCAGTGAACTTGTTCCTTTGATTAACTTTTCTAGGGCAGGTTGGATGCAGTAGATGTTGTGGCAGTAAGATTTGTAATGGAAAAAAGGAGGCAGTAAGTTTTGTAATGTAAAAAGTAGTATCTAACTGCAGGAACTTCAGTCTGTGAAGGCATCTGTGAACAGGGATGCTGCTGACATTAGAGATTTGTGTAACAGGGCAGGTGGTCTTGCACTGCTGAGAGGGAGGGAATAAGTTTATCTCTGCAGTGGCCTCCTGAGAAGCAGTGAATACAAAAACACAAAAAGGACCACACAAATGATAGACATTTTCTCTTACTAGTCAGTCATTCCCACTTTGAAGTCAGACCCCCCGAATTTAAATGCAAGGTCTTTCTTCAGCCATGCGACCTTGGACAAATCATTAAGCTCTCTGAAGTTCTAGTTCTTCTTTTGTAAAATAGAGACTACTGTGGCAGGGGCTATGTTACAATATCAGTATTAATGTTGTTTTTCTCTTCATAGATATGTATATGGAGGGACAGAGGAAGAGGTGGTTTCCATACATGTGAAAAATTGGGGCTTATTTCCACTGTTACTTAATCAGCCAGTGCCCCACACACACCCATACAGATAGGGTAAGGTTAGCACACAGACAGTTCCTATCCTTTCTAATTTATGACAACCAGGCTTCTGTGACTGTGTTCTTGATTTTGTGGCCCATCCACTTCCCGGCCACCTGGTCTCCGGATTCAACTGCCTGTCCCCATTATTCAGCAATATCTTCAGCCAGCAGGAGCTGAGCTCTGTTCCAGGAGGCTGAAAAGGAGCTGTTGGCATTTCATTAAGGAGCTGGCAGAGTTCCTTGAATCAGAATTAAATCTTTGTCCAGAGCAGTGTAGTGCAGCCTGGGGAGTTTTATAAACTCAGCTAAAAAATAAGGGACACTAGGCATGGCTCACCCATCTGTTTAGAACTCTCAAATGGTACCCACAAGAATTTTGTGAAAATGTTCAAAATCCCCTATAGGAAGGCGGGGCCAAGCCCCATCCACAGGTAGGCTAGCCTGAAATTCTCAATCACTACTCCCTTAATTACAGAGTGTGGGAAACCACAAAACTAGTAGAGATTCTATCTATCTGAGGGATTAAACTGTATTTGATTAGTCACCTGACCTCTTGGGTTCTTATAAGGTGAGAGACGGGACAGAGAATGTGGAATTTGGACTGTGGTAAAAACCCTCAGGATTAAGGAAAGCTAGACAGTTGAACAAGCACCTAGCAAATAAGTACCTACTATGTGCCAAGCACTTTAAGTATGAAGACTCTTTCAGTTTTCACCACAATCCTAGGAGACAAAGATGAAGAACATAGGATCCAGGAACTTTAGTAACTTTATCAGAATCATGTCTAAGACATGCACACATCGTTTCAACCCCATGTACTACTAGGTGAGGGAGGTGCTTAGCAAGTCTCTCATCCGAGTTTGCATCATCAAGAGCTGGAGGAATAGGATGGAAACAGAATAAATCTAGTCCATTTATCTCTTAGACAGCTCAGAGATGGACCTGGTCCACTCCACCCCCTGCGGCGGATTATCTGTGGGCTTGAAGGGCCAGAGTCTGTTAAAATAGACATGGTCTTTCACTGTCAGAAGTCAGGTCTTTCTTCTTTCTGTACCCTCTAAGGGTAAAGAAAAGACTTAGTCCCTCTTAGTGACTTCCAGTGTCCCTCTCTCCTTCTGGAAAGTTCTCCTTCTTCAGGATTTCTTCATCTGACTCTGTCCCTTCCCAGCGCTTGAGATCTGGTCCTTAGAGGGAGATGCTTGGTTCAGGCCTTGACATGTTCAGACAGTAAGATTTAGAAAATAAAGTAAAAAACAAGCTATGAATATACCATAATAAAAGGTGGACACATACTCATATACTTTGGACTAGATATGCTCATTTTAAAAACGTTTACAAATTAATAGCAAAAGTAACCCAAGTAAAAACAGTATAGGACTTGTTAAGTAATTCATACAAAAGTTATTTAACTAATAAACGAATCAATTCCCAACCTTACTCATAATAAAGAGAAGATGAAATACAATAAGATACTGTATCTCACCTATAAAACTAAAATTATTAATTATATGCCAGACCTGGTGATCAGGCACTCTCACACATTATTGGCATGAGAATAAAATTGCACAACAATTTTATATATAAATTATATATACATCGGAGATTATGGCAGAGTACATATGAAAACTGTTAAGCCTGATGCCCTTAAGGAATAGTCTTGCAGAAACTGGAGGAGCCATTTACTTCTCACAACCTTTTAAATTATCTCAATTATTTTTACCACTGGCATGTATCACATTTTTGGTTTGTATTTTACGTATTTATGTATGTATTTATTTATTTATTTTGGTACCGGGAACTGAACTCAGGACCTTGCGCTTGCAAGGCAGACACTTGTACAGCTGAGCTATCTCCCTGGCTACTTTTTGGTTTTTAAAGGAAAATCTCCAGGTGGGACATGAAAAAGATTGATTTGTTTTTCAAAAATAACAAAGATAAGGCCAGGCTTGGTGGTTGCAAGAGCACTCAGAGACTGAGGCAGGAGAATTCCTGTGAATTCAAGGCCAGCCTCCACTACATAGAGAGTTCAAGGGCAGCCTGAATTGCACAGTGAGACCCTGTCCCAAAAAACAAAGAAACAAAGCCAAAATAAATAAATTATAAAATTTTTTTAAAATAACAAAGATAAGCAAGTATGATGGTACTTGCCTGTGGTCCCAGCTACTCAGAGGCTGAGGCAGAAGAATTTGGGCAATTTAGCAGGACTCTGTCTCAAAATAAGAAAAAAACGTAAAGGGACTAGGCAGTGTAGCTAAGTGGTAGGTCTGCTTGCAAGTTCCAGGACTGCCAAACATTAAAAAAAAAACATATTCTCTCAATCTATGTAGTATTCATTATGTTGATCTTTGAGAGCAAAGATTAATATCCTTTGATGTAAATAGGTTACAGTTTTTTTCTATGGATTTCCCTCAAGATACCACCTCTTTTGTTATAGGTGTTGAGAATGAATGCTTTCTTTTTGATTCTATGGGAATAACCAGGAGCCTAAGCCTAATCTGAAGAGTGAAACATGTAGTGCCAAAGAGAGAAAGGACTAGAGCTATGAGTGGCAAGTGGCTGGTAAGAAGTGGTAGTGTGTCATTGTCTTTCATAGTAAAGCCTACGGATTGTTACTGAATTGAGTGTCTTCCAGAGGGGACCTTCTGAAGCAGTCCATGTATCACCTAGCATTACCCTAAGGCTTGTGTGCTCTTGTTTCCCCTAGTTGGCTGTACAGGATTCTACCTTCAGTTTCTCACAAGCCCTTTGAGTCCATTGACCAAGGCCATGTCACTCACAACTGGGATGAAGTTGATCCTGATCCTAACCAGGTAACTTGGTCCTGGGAACATACCACACATCCAAACCTAGAACAGAAATATTTAAATCAGGGCCAGGGGCTTTGAAAAACTAGACAGCTTTTAAGAATAAATGCTAAAGCATGTCTATATTGGGCTTAACCTTGAGTAGAATTAGTTGATGGGTGTGTGTATGTGTGTGTGCACATGTGTGTGTGTGTGAGCTTGTCTTTCTAGCCCAGTGATGGTAAGTCTTTTAGAGATGAGCACACAAACTACAACCCAAAACCCACTTATTTATCGCAAAGTGTCCACACTGCAATTAAACCTGGATACTGAGGTTTTCATTTAGGAAAAACAAACAAACAAACAAACTCATCCATTAGCATCTTTTGCTGTAAGAGAAACACATGATAACACATGTGCCATAGGTTCACCACCACTGTAATCTAGCCTAATATGTCCAGGAATGGTTCAGACTTGGTAGCAATGCCCAGGTGAATTTGATGAGTGGGAATTATGCAGGCTTGTCAAAATACCTACATAGGTATTTTTGTTTTAATCTAAACATACCACAGAATATGGAAAACACCTTCAACCTTGCCATCCTTGAAGGAAGGCCTCTGAAATCTATAAAGAGATAAGAGTTTTGTTGTCCGAGTATGATTCTGTAAGTCTTGTGGTGACATATTGCTTTCACATTCTCTTCAGATCTAGGAACTTCCAATGTTTGCCAGAATTTTCCTCCTTTTTGCTCTAGTGATGAGTGGGCTTTTCATCTGAGTGTCAGTATTATTTATATACTCTGCTTCCAGCAATGAGACAGGCCTAATACTATAATGAACTAAGGTCTTTTTTCAGTGAGACAGGCCTAACACTATAATGAACTAAGGTCTTTTTTTCTTAACCTTCTGAGAACCCTAGTATAGTGCCTTTGTCTCAGAGATTAAGTACGTATCACTGATAACAGGCTATTTTAGTTACTTTCATTGCTGAGACAAAATATCTGACACTCAAAGTTATAGAGGGAAAGGTTTATTTAGCTCATAGTTTGTAGAGGTTTCAGTCCATAATCAGCTGGCCCCAAGAAAGGGAGGTATGGCAGAGGGGCATCAAAGAGGAGAACCAGTTCACCGCAAGCAGAAGACGGCAAAAGCAAGCACGGAAGCAAGACAAGCCTCTCTCTGCCCCTTATATTGTATCCGGGCTACCAGGATTAGGGTGGTGCCAAAACAATCAGCGGACTGATTCAGTAATCACCCGCCCTTAATCCCAGCATCACACACTCTAGATCCAGCCACCTCTGAGAAAGCCCTGCCTGTGATCACATGAGGCTTTAGGGGTACATCTAGACCCAAACCATAACACAGATAGATAGTGCAAAAACAGATCTGAGTTTGCATCCCTCGCCCCTCTCCTTCCCAGCTGTGTCCTTGAGCCATGATTTTTCACTTATAAAATGTGATAACCCCATCGGCCTTGCAGTGCTATTGTGAAGATCACATAAAAAAAGAGGTGTGAACATGCTTTGTAACTGTGGCTGGCATGTTGTTGACGAGAACTGTGACTCTGATACAGCCATCTTGAAATATTAACTTATAGGCAATGGCAGTACCTATCAATCTTGGAATTTATATTCAGGTGTATTTGTTACATATATATATATATATATATATATATATATATATATATATTCATGTTCTTTTCTTTGAGGACTCCGTCTGCCCTTTTTTCTTTCTTCTATCCTCAGCTGAAAGAAATCCCTTACTCCTTACTCCTCCTTGATTTATCAAGACATTTTGTGTATACCTGCATGTCTACTTCCCCTCACAAACTTCTTATAAAACAAAAGCCAGAATTATTCCTTGTCACCTTCGGTTTCCTGCCCTGCTCATTTCTTCCTTTAATTATAGAAATTTCAAAGGACTAAACAGAACTCGAGCATTGCCCACCCCTCTCCAGAAGAGACAGAAAGAGAGGTTTTCAGGGTAGAAAATAATGTGAGTTAGCATCTTAAGGATTAGCCACCTCATAGCCATTTTGAAAGTGGGCTATTTTGTCCAAATGACTAACCCTCAAACTTGTGTGAGTGTTAATGTATTCAAGGATGGCCATCCCAGCCCTCCACTGGCCTGTATGGTGCCTTTGAGCATACTGAGGAAAAGGCAGCCCCTCCTCCACACAGCTCCCCTACTCAGCCCCATCCCAGGCACACAAAGCCAGGCACTCAGCTCCTGCTTCCCTTTCCTTCAGCCCGACAGGGGCCTTGGGCTGTGAAATAACTTGCACAGTTAACCTGGGAATGATGACTTTACCTCATCCTAGAGACTCTGGCTCCTAACTCCATCTCATTTTCCCACCTTTCCTCATGCACTGTGGAGTTAGCAATGCATCTGACCACGACAGACCGTCTTCCCTTGACCATTACCTCCCCACTCATCTGACAAAGGGCCATGAGTTCTCTCCTCATTCTCTGCAGACCTGTGTGAGCCCTATGCGGGCCTTGGGGACCAAGTGAAAGCATGAACTAATGATAATAGAGAGATTAATCAGGGAGAAAGGGATACAAATTTATTAATGGATAAATTACAAGAGAGTACTAACTACAACCCAAGATGCTTCCATACCCTTCTTCCCAGCACGAGGAGAATGGGGAGGCAGTGGCAGGTCACTAGGAAGGTGAGTGCCCAACTTCACTGTGAGCAGATTGCCTCGTCATGCAGGTAACTTCTCAGAGCTGCCCTAAGAAGTGATGCAAACCGGTCAGGTGGTGATGATTTCTAGTGTCCTCTCTTGTCATGCAGTTGATCTTTGATGAGATTCCTGGGAAGGAAGTTTAAGACAGTGACATTTTTTGGAAGATTTTCTCTCTGATAAGAGACCTTCAGAGCATCCCCCCCGGAGTGGAGGAGAAGCTAGGGATTTAAAGGTGTTTGGATTCCAAGACTATTTTTCAGCTGGTATGTCAAAACTTCATACTTTGGAGTTGTGCTTTCTGAGCCCAAAAGTTACATCTCAAATTCTATAATTTCTCTCTCAGAGTTGCAATGATCATATTCACTTATTTTTACTTTAAAAGGGGATTTTTTTTTAAAACCTAACATTTAGGAAAAGGTATGGTGCAATTTCACTATGGGATGTGTAACTGCTTAATAACACAACTCCATCTTCGACTAGAAAATATAAAGGATGAATATACATGCTTTCATAGCATTCCCAGTCAGGTTAAATGACAATTAAAAACATTTATATACTAGTTTTGGAAGATTGAGAGGTATTCAGACCACAGTAAGTTTTCTAGTTCTTCTCTTTAGGTGGCAGGGAATCCTCAATTATGCTTCTGATAATTCTTTCAAGTAGAGTCACATCTTATTTTACAAAGGAATAACTGATTATAAAATCAGCAAAGAAGGCGAAAATTAAGACAAATTATCTCTGAAGATCCCTTTAATTACCTATAAAGTATACAATATGTGGTTTTGTGTGTGCTACCCAAGATGCTAATCTTTCTGCACACCAAATTTGAGAACCACTGAATTAGATTAAATGAAAGATCATGGGGAAAAGTCCATAGGCAGATTTCAGGAATTTAAATCATGTGGTCTTTAAGATAACAAGTAAATCAATACTAGAAAATGGGATGGGATAGCAATTTTCAGTACCTCTATCTGCTCCGATTGTCCCTAGCAGTTGTCTCAACTTTCAATCCTTAATATACCTTCATAGACTGTCATTGTCAGGGCAATTGTGGAGCCATATTTCTTTTACATAGTCTTATTTGGAATGGGGATTATGTTTTAAGCCTAATCTTTAGGAAAAAATGTGATGTTATTTCACTGTGTGATATGTAATACATCCAGGAATATACTGTTATTACATGTTTTTTGTTATTACATGCTATTTTCAAGATTACTATAGCTGCCTTTTGTTTAACATGAGTACAACCCTTCTTAAAGGTTATTTTGAAATACAAGTGGCATAGCCATGGAAATTGTGAAAACAAAATTCTAGAAACTAAGGGATTTCTGAAATAAAAGGGTTTACTGAGCCATTACAGATGCGAATCAGAAAAAGAAGAGTAGGTCCTGGGGTACGTTCCCACAATTACCAGCAGTGGTACTGGACGGCAGTTGGAAAAGGTCTGGCAGATCAGAGCTAAAAGCACATAAAAATAAACTGGGGTAGGAAGTACTCTAACAAACACTGGCTATAGCTAAAAGGGTTGGCAGAACAATGAACTGAAAAGCTTTGAGACAGGAGGGCAGTCCAAAATGATAATAGTTGCTGGTGGATCAGTTGGGTTGACAGTCCTAAAAGTTTGTATGCATACAGTGCAATGGTCCTGGTGCTTACTGTGATGGAATTTCTAGTTTTAGTTTTTTGAGGCATCGCCATACTCATTTCCACTGTGGCTATAATAGTTTATACTCCCACACTGAGCAAGAGTTCCTTTTTCCTCACAGTCTCACCAGCATTTGTTATTGGTTGATTTCTTGATGGTAGCCATTCTTTCTGGAGTGAGATGGACTCTCAGTGTTGTTTTAGTTTGCATCTGCTGAATGACTAGTGATGTTAAACATTTTTCATGCATTTACAAGCCATTTATATTTCTTCTTCTGAAAAACATCTATTCATTTCAGCTACCCATTTTTTAATTGGGTCTTTTAAGTTGAGAGGGTCTAATTTTTTGAGTTCTTTATATATTCTATATATTAGTTCTTTATTTGAAGAATAGATGACAGAATTTTTCCCCCATTCTGTAGGTTGTATCTTCAGTCTGTTGATCGTTTCCTATGCTGCACAGAAGCTTTTTAATTTGCTAAGATCCCGTTTGTTGATTCTCAGTGCTATTTCTTGTACCATTTAGGTTTCTGTTCACAGTCTTTGCCTATACCTATGTCTTCAAGAGTTTTGCTTATTTTGTCTAGCAGCAGATTAAGTTTTTCTGTTTTAATATTTAGATCCATGATTTTAGAACATAGCAATTCTTGATTTTTTCCAATTATACCTAAAGCCTGTGATTTTTCAAGGTG